TATCGGTGAGTGTTGGTAAGGGTGGATTCATTCACATTGGCAGAAGACTAAGCTAAATCTGGTTCTACACAAACACGTACTAAAACTCCTCACCATTCGAGTGAATGTATAGTAGCAGTTTGGACTTTCCGAGCATATCACATCTAAAGTATCCAAATCAAGAAAGCCGATTGAATTGTTTATGATAAATTTTGTTAGTACTTATTGCAGATTATTATTATAAATTCTTGGATACGGTATTTTAGTTAACTGTTGTAGAATTATGATTAATTTATGTGTAAGTTTATTTATCTCTACTATCAGAAGAGTAGACTTGAATACGTGAATGCTCTCAAGTCTGCCATCAAGTGTGATATGGTTGCTACCTGCTGTGTTGTACTTTAGAATCTTGTTTTTCCCTTGCAAATAATGAGGTGTCCTGCCACAGCATCCGCTACTACTTTGGCGAACTTCTGTATTTGTTGTTGTGTATGCGGTAGAGAGACCAATTCATCTTCGAGGTCTAAATCAGTCAGCTACGTACAAGGCGTCCACTGTGTTTGGTATTTTTGAGAAATAAAAGTCTCCATAATCTAGTCAACAACTAGCAGAAAGGGAAAAGGTGGAAGTAAGCATACTCATCTGGCACTAGTATTCACTTGGAGTGCATCTTTTAGTTGTCTTCTGTGCACGACTGTGCAACTCAGCTCTTCTTAGGAGCTTCGCATTATGGTGACCAATCTCTCATGTACGACACCATGCTGCAGAGAGTTATACAATATTTTTTTCTATCGAAATTCGAATTCTTTCCCATAACTAAGGAAGTTGATACATAGAGATGAGGTTTGATCAAATGTTTGCTTAGTAATGATCTCCAATGTCGCGATTTTGTCGGTATGTGATCTATCTTTTTGAAGTCCAACTCTTTGGACTCAAAGATGGCTGTTGACTGAATCTTTCGTTCTGTTGAAAAATTTGGCCAGTACTGTTAACGGTACGATTCTTCTGTGGTTCTCACACTTACTAAGGTTTTCTTTCTTCCATATCTTAATGATTTGTCCTTCTTTCCAATGTGTTAGTACTTGTTTTCCTTTCTGAATCTTCTTGAAGAGAACGTGAAGTATCGTAGTTAATTATGAATCTGAATTCAGTGATCCATTTGGTCCGCTATCTGCTCCTGCTTCTTTGCAATCCTTGATTTTTCTGATGGTCAAGTTGATTTCTTCTGTTGTTGATGGGTATAATGTACAGGGTGATCTTAGTGTACCAATTCATATGTCCAGTGGGTTCTGTAGTGTTTGTCTCTTCAAGTACTTGATGTGGTTCTCGGTTACATGATCCGATGAAACCCATGTACTTTGCGTATACGTCTGTGGGCGAAAATGATGTCACCTAAAACCATGTTAATGAAAGTGAATAGATCTGTCAGTCTCTCACCATTCTCGTTTCTCTCTCAGTCCATATCATCCGATGATGCGTCCACACCCGATGTTGGCGTTCACATTTCCCACCAGAATGGTGTGAATTTTTCGTGAACAGTTCTCTACAATCAATTACAGCCTCTCATGAAACCGATTGTACTCGTGTTCACTTTTATCATTTAGGGGTGCGTGACACTGGATGATGCTTATAGTGATGCTATCATTCGTTCTCCTGAAGGATGACTTGATGGTCGTGAAGCCATGAGATTGTCAATCCGTAAGCAACTCTCGTATTTGTGTAGAGAGCATCAGTAGGGTTTGTTGTGTTTGTTGGGCATTTGCTTTTCTGTGATGAGAATACAATCACAACTTTACTGAAGTTAGTCTTTTGTATCAAGCTTGTGTTCAACGGACTTAATTTACTGAGAACACGACCAGGTTGTATGTTCTCATTAGTGTGGCTATTTGGAAGACCCTATCGATCTTCCATATGTCTATATTAATTGTTGCAGTGGTTGTCATGATTCCTTCCGATAATGTTTGTATTTCAGTTTCGTGACTTCCTAAGAATCTCAGGCTTCTCAATTAGGTGTCATTACTCTACAACTTTCAAATCAAAGCTTAAATATAATAATTGGTTTATTTTGTTTAGTTCGTCAGCGAGGTTATTTACGAGGTAGGGCTGCTAACCGTACGATTAATCCTCCTGTTTTACACGGATTTAGAACCGGTGACACCCGTCGAGAGACTCCAGGCGTAGCTGTTAATATACGCATTTTTGTTTTTGTCTAATTTAGGTGTTGTTTGGTGATAATACCGTACTATAATGGTACCATTTTGTCGCATTGTGTAATATTGTACTCTATGAGCAGCAGTCAGTCTGCCGTTTTTCTGTTCTTTTCGATATTTACTTGAATACATGTCATAGTAATTAATAATCCAATGCATAGACCACTGGGCTTGTTAACATTTTACATTTTAGCATAACTAAATGTGAGATAAACAAGCATATTTACTGTGTGGTAAGATATTGTTACCTAATCGGTCGAATATGCATGAAATTCAGACGAATTCATGGTTCATACTTTAAATACCAACAGTTTGTCCTACTTTTATTTCACATGTTCGAATCTATTTTTGGTGTAGATGATTAAAAGTAGTCACTAGAAGTTTTATCAACTTAGTTACAAGCTTGTTCATGTTTTGATAGTAATTTCGCTCACAACTTCCCCTAGTCACTTGGATCTTTATCGCTATTCCAAACTCGAGGAGATCAACATTAAGCTGTTATAACTAAAAGTTTAGTATATTTTCATAGGCATGTCACTCTGTACAGCCCTATAAAAATGCGAAGGTTTGATTTAATGTACTGTAGCATTTCTGTCATTTGACGTTGTTTTGTTGTTTTTTCTACACATATTGAAATGCCTAAATACTTTAATGTCCTCTCCAGAAACTAAATTTATAAGTCTTATCTTCTACATATCTGTCAATCTTCAATATGTAGCGTGTTGTGGAGGGGAGCAGTGACATCTAAGCGTGATACATCGAAGAAAAATAAATAAGGGCAGTAAATGTGCATTCAAAGAAACACTTAGAAATTCTTGAACAAAACTAATCTAAAATTAGTAGCGAGGACATCTCGTTGAAGTGAAAATATATGACATTGTACACACGTTTTCAAAAGTCGGGATTTTGTTCTCCCTTCAAACACGATTCTTATTACATGCTTTTTGGACTGCCTAGTAAATGTGATTCTGAATGTAAGAAAATTGAAACAAACATTAGTTGTTGTCTGATGTAAGAGTTGGTCACTTGTGTTCAGCTTGTAAAGCACTAAAAACACTACTAATCCCATTGATTTAAATATTGATGTTTCGATAGTCTTAAGTACCGGCTGATCAGTTTATTTTTGAAAATTGCTAGCTATTTCTGGGTATGAACTTGTCCAGTTCAAAACTAGATCACTCAAGTTAGACACATTAAAGATCTCTATTTCGCAAATGTTGTTAAGATCAAGTCCTACTGAACTTTTTATTAAGTCTCATTGAGCAAACGAATGCTGGACCGATTATTTTGTCATTTTTAAAGTAAAAATTGTCTGACCAATAATATTAGTTACGTTGGAATCGGAAACTGACTTTTTTCTTCAAGAGTTTTATTGTAAGCATTATTACTAATACAAATTTGGTTCATGTTGACCGATACACTTCAATTTGATTACCAACTGGATGTAATAACAATTGTGTAGTTGAATATTGGGTCGTATTCACTGTTCTTTGAAGTAATTTGGCGTAGCGTTACTAGTAATCGGTTTTCATTCATTGCCAGTTTACCTACAATTAAAGTCTTGTGATAATAAAATCTACATAAAATCAAATTTCTCAACATCAAAGGTTAAATTACTCAATATTGAAACGAAAGGAACTCCCTTAGCTGGAATAGTCTTTTTTGTCCTTTTCATCGATTACATATTGTTCTCCTTTACTTATTTATTCATTGGCAGTTTTATCTTTTTGTGTTGTCTACTATTTTTGTTGTCTAGTCATACCCTGGCGACTTCGATTTAAGTTTAGTAATAAATATAGCTCAAAATCGAATATATAAACGTGTATGTGATAGATGATTGACATAGGACATACTATTACTAATTTATGGTTTGATTAGCCTAGTTGAATCAATACCTAGTAGGTAAATTTAGGCTTGGTTACTGAGTTACATTTTTCTAATATTTAAAAGATGCTAACTACCGAAGAGAGATTCTAACAAGTTTGAAGAAACTGTCAAATTCTTTTAGATTCCCAAACTTAACCCAACTGATATTAGTCGTTGATGAAATTATTTTTCAAATTATTGATTTAAATGTGACTATTTCACTGAATTTCACAATTGTCTGAATTTACTTGCACATCAAATCTTATTTCATCACCAAAAAATCATTGAAAAATAAATTGAACTCACATAGATCAGAATGTATTTTCTGCTGCACTGTCGGGAAATATATTGATTGATATATGAGAAATTGTTGACAGTCAGAAAAAATAGGATCTATTCAAATGATTAGAAATATCATATTACATATGATAATTTTTACAAAATCCAATTCATTCGCTGTTATCATTTGTCTATTCGTTTACAATGGTTGTCGAACACAATTCATCACAAGCTATAATAACATTAATTTTAAGCAGAAATAAATGGTGGCTTGCAGTGGAATCCGAAATACACGTCTCAGCATATTTGGAACCCTCCTGGTAGATGTACCTGCATCTGAGTTAATGTTAACTCTGCGATTCGAACCCAGTACTTTTCGCTTCAAATACCAATGCATTAACCCTACTAGCTGCCGAGTCCAGAGAACTGCTCATTTATACAATGGGTGATATATTCTAATTCAATTGATCAGTCTTAAACATCAGTGGGAAGATTCAAACAACCAATACTAATAAATTATTAGTAATTTTACTTCTTTCTAGTAGTTTGTGGGACATTTTCACAGTTTGTCTCATTGTTATTTTGTTTACCCAATACTTTGATTAGTGTGTTTCTATTTCGTTTCAGGTTAATAATCTCTATTCGACAACAATAATACATTGAATAATGAACACTAGTGAACAAACCGTCGATCGACCATTTGTTACTACCGATGGAAAAATATGGCCAGCAAATGTTTTTGTACCTTGTAAAAGATACTATTGTATTAAAGTTAGTCGACTAGTTTTGTTGTTTCTCATCCTGTTTTTGCTTATTGAATTTTTTTTTAACATTAGCAGCAGTAGTTATTAACACTTATCGGTATGATAATTAGTTAGTTATACAACAGAGATAACCGTTTCATTTAAATTGATTCCCACTATATTCTCCCCGCAGCAAATCAGCATCTTATTTTCAGTCTTTTATGTGTCAGGTAGATATGTATTGTTTGGGAGATCCGAACTGGGAACGAACAGCTTTTAATATTTAGTTCTAATTAGTTTTTCAACTGATAACAAGTTCGCAACAAAAATTTTCAGTCTTTCAAACTAACGAGAGAGCAGTTTCAGTTGTGACAATAACATGTATTTATCCGAGGTCGAAATGTACTACCCTATCAGCTCACACCATTCCACACAAAATCCCCTACTATGTTACTTTAAAAGAAAACATTCTGTCTCACACAGAACAACTCTTAGATCAGTTATCAATTATTATTATTATTATTGTTATTATTATTATTATTATTATTATTATTATTATTATTATTATTATTATTATTATTATTATTATGTTAAAGTGAATACTCACCCATATTAAGAATTTTACGTCAAATATAGACATAAAATTAAGCGAATTACAATCTCTTGATTTACTTGGCTGTAGGTACATACTCAGCGTCTTGAATGATATATGTTCTGTATTCAGATATAAAATTGATAGGTGCTAGTAATCACAAATTTTATAGTCATTGTTTTTAATACGTAGGTAGTTTAGCCATTTATGTTTATCCTAACGATTAAAGTTAAACCATAAAATTTTCTGTTTGTTTTCAAGTGCTATCTGGGATACCCTTTTATACTTATAGCCACTCGTACTTATTGCCTAATCGTGTTTACTAATCGGTTTTATAGATTCTTGATGGTGTTGTGCAATAGTAAGTTGTGATTGGCTAGTGAGAGAAGACAGACAACCAGCCTTGCCAGATTGCCAGGCGAAACGTTGGATTTACTCCAAATTCTTTCGCTGAGATTTTACAAATAAATTCTTCCTCTTTAGTGTCTCATATCAACTCGGTGCCCAATTACTGTGAAACTGTTCGATCAAATTTAGACGAAAGTTCTTATTTATTATTCTTTAAGACACTATTTAACATTGTGAATCCTTTTCTACTACTGATTTCTACCCTTGGTTTTACCGTGTGAGCCGTATGTGTTTGTCTTAAATAGACTATCGTCTGGTCTATAATCTCGTTTTTAGTCGTTAGTCGTGAATCGTGTGTGTGGGTGTGAATTGATCTGGTCTACTGATCTAGTAATCTCGTATCCGACATATGATATTATGTATCATGCCTAATCCATTATCCAATGCAGTCGAACATCATGTGTTTTGTAGTTACCAAACCAATTATTATCTTGGCCTACGTAACGGCTTGGTTGTTTGATATTCACATAATCCTTAATGTCTATGAAATACAGGATGATAAATAGGTCGAAGTACATTGGCTCCACTCTTTCCATTTGTTTATTTCTTTCATTTATTTGTTTCCCTGTTAAGCAATATAGTATAGATTTGAAAGCATAAAAAACAAACAATCAAGTACGTTGAATGAAATTAACACGCTAACTAAATCATTCTAACAAGAAGAATTTCCCTAACAGTAATAATTTGTCAATTTATGTTTGATTTCTTAGTAATATATATTTTTGTCATTCAACTCCGAATGTTGTAATATTTACACACACGCAGATTGAATTTTGATTAAAAAAATAAATCAATTTGTGAAATCATGAAGTTGTTTGGAATTGAATTTCCAAGATGGCATGTGTGCATATGCATTCGATATGACGCGAATTGTTTTATCTAGGTACTAAAACTAACTGTTATTATAACACAATTATATCTTCAATAACATTTTACAGTTATATACCTAACGTTTCAAAGGAATAGCTAAGTTTAAGCCGAATACGTCGTTTAAAATTACAGCATATAAATTTATGGAGATGGTTGTACGATATCATAGAGTGATTGAAGTTAGACATTAACACCGTTGAATTTCGACTCAGTGGTCTACAGATTGAGCGTTCAGGTATGAGACCGAAGGTCTTGGGTCCGATTCCTGCATAGTTTAGCTAATTAACAATTATACAATAAAAATCTATGTATCGTATTGGTCCATAAGTAGTTTTCAAAAGTTACCACTCATAACTCTCGTCAGGATATAACAAATAGGTATCTGTAATCAATATGAGTCTTGAAATATTTGATGGACAGAATTTTTCTTTTCATTTACGAAAAATTATTTAATCTAATTCAATGTAATTTGCTGTTAATTTGTTCAAAGAAACAACTAACCATAGTTTTATTTAATCAGTTGAAACGATATTTATTTAAAGTAATTTACCCACTTGAATTTGGTTTATTCCATCTACTTTCATTCTAACAGCTTGATGATATCTATAGTTATTATACCATAGCAATGTTGTACAAGATACTTTATTAGCTACCAAGTTGCCTAATTGAATAATTCATGTAGTGAAATATTCAGTTAAAAAATGAACACTTTTAGTACAATAAATGATAGGAAATGGTAGTGCCACCAGTGTGTTGGAATTTGTAGGGATGGTTAATTTAGGCCTGATTTCTAATATTTTTCAGAATTTAATTCAATGGTTGCTGTAATCTCTTCTCGTCTGAAAGTAATTTACTTTGGGTCACTGCAGCCTTTATTTTGTCACATACCGATTTCTCCGGGACCTGATATATGAGATCTCCAACCTTAGCTGCAGTCACAATCGGGAGCACACTCACGACGTATGTATACCATGTGGCTCGGAAACGTGTGCCACGTACAAAGAAGTGTTGTGATCTTCACGTTGGTAGGACTGTACGTAGGCAGTCTGAGCTCTGATATTGTGTTAACTGCTGTCACAGACGGATTGTTACGTTTTGGTAGATCAAGGGGCATTTAATTACAAGCAGTAATAATAAATGATAGTAACAGTGATGAATATATAAATATAAATGCGGACATATCAATATAACCAAGAAAATGTTCAGCTTATGGAAAACCTAAAATCATTGTCTTACCAAATAACTGTTGTGGACCGAAATGCAAATATATAATAATGTTATTTAAAAAGAATGTACGAAAAATGAGTTAATTGTATATAACACAAGTATATATAATTTCACAATGAGTTACTTCCCAATAGCTGGTTTTACGTTCAATAAATCCAGATATAATCCCACAACCAAGATAGGTTGTTAGTTTTCAAATCTTAGATATACTTCGGTGTTATAACGAGTAATTGATTAGCGTAATGTCCAGGAATACGAGCTGTAAAGATATGTCTTGGATTTAGATCATGAATCGATGAATGTTATATCACCATTGAAAACCTGGAAGCACTGGACGGCCATTTCGTCCCAGTATGGGACTCCTCAGCAGTTCGCATCTACGATTCCACGCGCGGGACTCGAACCCAGGACCTTCGGTCTCGCATGCGGACGCTTAACTTCTAGGTATGGTAGGTGTATTAAGAATCTGTCAACATGATAGTAATTTAGACAAAAACCCGACGTAGGTAGGTAGCACGTTTATTTAGTGAATAATAATCAACGTACCATACAAAGAGCGTACAGTGAAATTCAATATCGACCTTAACATTTTATGGATAATAACAATTGTACAAATCAAATGAACCTATCGAAAATATGAGAAGTAGCAAAAATTATTTATAAATTAGGTTTAAATTATTCATCTTTACAAGTTTCTTATTTGTCATAGTTCACTTTCATATTAGCCATTTACAGATTAAGATAATTTTATGCAAATAAGATTTGCATTATTCAACGTGTCATTTGGTGATTGTTTAAAATTATTGCAATTTTGTTTATGTTATTATCAAATATGTTGTGTTTAACTCATGTTAATTATTCAGTAATCAGCTAAGTATACACAGTAGTTTAGATTGTGATTGATAAAAAGTTATTCGACAATCCAGTGTGTTACTTATTATATCTCATTTTTTCTTGCCTGCAACGTTTTCTTTTTTAGTATACTAAAGAAATGCTTGTATCGAAAATTACCGAGAAATGTTTAAAGCCTGATGATGGGAATTTTATTGATTTATGGGTATTGACTAGGTCAGTGAAATAAACTCATTACTACTGTCCATTTGATATTTTTAACTTGAAATTTAATCACTTAAAAGTCTAATTCCATGCTCGAATTCAGCACCATATGTCTGACGAAACAATTCTCTTTGTTATAAAGGTTTAATTTCTGTCCTAATATAAACTGCTTTTACTTCAAAGACTTTATATATTTAGCAGGTCATTAATAATCTTATTTTTGGATTATTTTTCTACAGTCTTCACAATATTTATGTGTATGATTCTTAAACGTCCAATAAAATTGTATTATTAAAATTCCCTATCTCGTAGAACAGTTTGTACAACAAGGATACCTTTCATCCACTGATTTAGTGATAGGATAATTTATTTTGAAGCTATGAACAAAACAAATGGGAAAATAGAGAATGATAATAAGATAAGCGGCTTATAATACAAGATATATGTACAAAATAATTCAAGATCACTACTGTGAAGTGAGAGTACATCGTGTTCCAGGAGATAATCATTTGTTGCGAATAGCTGCTATATGATGTGCCAGTCTTAAATCAGATATTTAGATGGAAATGATAAGAGTTTAGTAAAACAAAAGTATTTCATCTTTATACACAAAACGTCACTTTTATTATGTGAGTTTATATTTTTTAACACGATTACATATATCATCCACTGGGAACACATTTCCTCCATGTGATTTCCCTATTTTTTACTCACTACAATATCATGAAATTCAACTTGTATAGTTCAACGGTAATGTCATTAACGAAATCTCTGAATGATACAGTTTAGGCCTTGAGTTTCATGGTTGTTTGACATTATACACTTAACTTACGAATTCCGAAATCCTCAGCTGATTTCATTCACTCATTAAATATCATGGGATCATTTAATCTAATATTTACTCCACCTTAAACTTGATGAAAGAGAATTCGGTTAATACTAAAAATTAAACTACGTGAAGTTAATTTCCCTTGAAACATTTACCAATTGTGAATTTCGTTCTCTTTTCTGTGCTTAATTGTCTTACCGCTTCATTGTTCTATGCTTTTTCATGTTAGAATTAATCATTGGGATCATGAAATAGAGACCACTGTTTGTTTAACGACAAATATTTAATGCTTATAAGCTTCAATTTTATCAATGAAGATTGTACTTCAAAACGTGTTCTGTTACAATCCATTAAAACCATACATGTTGGAAATTTAATTCAACCAAATTGGTCTGCATTACCGTAAGTTATTGTTATCTCGATTGCAAAAAATTACTATTTTCTGGATTTGTGGTGTATGTTACTTATGCTCACAGATATGAGTAGTATGTGTCACCGGTACGTATATATGTATATCCATTATTAAAGACTGATTGTTTTGTGATTCACGTGGTTTATTCAATAACTAGAAAAACTAAACTATTAAAGTTTTGGGTAAGTTTTGAGAGGTTCATTAAGTCTTAAGGTATATGTGTGGAGAGAATGCGTGGATCAGGCGTTCCAATGACGGATGATCCATAGCTAGGACGACTGTTGATTATACATCTTGATGAAAACATTGTGATTATGTAGTTCCTCGTGTTTCTCGGTCACCAACTCACTGTCTGGACGATTGCCGGCGAGCTGAGTTTGGGAAAACAGTCTACACGATTGTACAGTTCTACTGAAAAGTCTGACTTCTGAGAGCCTCCATTAATGTTTTCAACAAGGAAACGAAGATGAAAAGGTGTGTAGTTATAAGTTTCAAATATTTCAAAGGATGTGTGGCGCATATATATTGGCGCTCTCTTGTACCAATATTTATGTGTTCAAATAAATAAATTTCACAGGATGTATTAATTTGCTCTAAACTTTGTGTAATGAAAATTTTATGACCTCAGGTCACGGATTTATTTGACAGGTTTCATACTACTTAAGTCATATAATGACATCGTGATTACTGTTTGATTTTATTGATAGGTATCCATTCTTAACAACACATGCATGTATATTTAATCAAGTTCACATTATAAAGTCCCTAAATGGGACGAAACAGCTGCGTAGCGATTCCTAGTATTTAAAATTTGTCTACTATTTCCCACACATATTTAAACAGTTTGAAACTCCTCGAAAATATTGACTTAAACCTATAAGAGGTTTGTCTAAATTTTTCCATCACACAAACTTTGGAATATTTCTGATGATGATCACTATTTTCCTGTAAATAAGATTAAGGTTATTAAATCAATTCGGGTTTATTTCACAAAGAAGAGATCCAGGGCTTCCTTCCAACTGACTCCAACCATCTAACATCTAGATGCGTATATGCGTATATTTATATCGTATAATTGTTAAATAAATAAACTGTTCATATTCATGTCCCTCTTATTATGAGCTTTATTTTGACCTATGAACTATCATTATACGATTTACCATTCTTGAATTATGCCAAGTCTATTAATTCCTACCTCCCACATTCACAGACACATTTGGCCAAATCTTGTATAAATGTTGCTTCCTATTTTATGGTACAATGTGGTCTGTCTGTCTGGTATGTAAACCCAGTATGCTTGAAATAAATGATTCATATTGCAGAGGCTGAGGTTGGTGTTCTGGATTTAACTGGCTGGGCTAGGCAGAAAGCAGGACCAATCAGGACTCTAGACTGCTCATACGGGTTTTGCGCGTCATTGGTCCGATCGATAATTCACTGCTCTCTAATTGGCGGTATCATTACATTATACATTAGCAGGACACACAGACTACAAGTTATAACAAATCTTCAGATTAGTATGTGGGATTCTACCAAGTTTGATTCTTGGTCAGACCTAAGTTATAATTCAGTTATCGACTGGTCTGTGTGAAACTCTAGACTAATCATAGGGAATGAAGTAGCTGGGCGCGCTGATCATCTGACGCATCTTAAAAGTCTCATCAACTCTGATGATATAGTCTCTAATGAAATCACGGCACAGATTCAAAAAGCTCACTTGGCTTCTCACCATTTTGCGTCAGTCGTGTCGTCGGAGAGATACCCATCTGCTTAGTAAAGGATGAGTATAATGTACACTTCACTCCACGTTACCATATAGCGGTAAAAAGTAGCTTATGAAAGTAGAGAAGATGCATAAATCCAAGGTTTTCGATCATAGGTGAATTTCAAGCATTGTTTGCATATTGTGAAATAACCGAGTAAACAACGCTGAGGTTAGGCGTACAGTACTAAGAAAAGGAGGCGAATTGGTCATTAAAACCACAAATCCTCATCAATCGAAGTGGCTGAGACGTATTATGTATCCACAACCACCGCCTACCTGAAAGTACAATGTTGGCTGCAGTCGGAGTAATCTGAAAGAAAGATTACAGCTCCCAACTTAAAACGTGAACGATGTCGGTGGATGCGAAATTTTTCCTGACAGTAGCTTCTACCCTGATTCGGTGGTCAGGTTTACATATGATGATCACCCAGTCGAGCTATATTTATTATATTTATTTAAACATAAACATTGGTACAATGAGGCACCAAATAGATATGCGCCACATAAATCATTCGGTTTGTGTAAGGGCTGGAATACTCTCCGGGTACCCAAACCGAAACAGGTGATTTTCATAGGGGGCCACACACGGAGCCTAAAAGTCTCATCCACAAGGCAGTGGAGAAACGTCAGGAGATGCAGTCCCATGGTAGACGGTGACCAACAATAGGTTCATGCGCCATTTGTTCCTTCAGGATGCTGGAGCCCATGTGGACCATTGGTTTGGAATCAGGGTTTTCCATCTCACTTAGGTGGACTCTCCGTGTCCACCAACCCGGTTAAAGCTCCGGACATTCGCTTTTCGTTTTCTTAATTTTGTAAACAACACCCCCGCCTTGACAAGGCAGTGAGTAGGACTTCCCTAGCAGTTGTATGCACGTGGCCATATTAGAGCATTTCGAGAGGGGGGGGCTGACTCAACACACTCGGCCGTACCATGGCATTTTGGGGCAATTTTAAGTACCCACAGCTATGTTGACTGAGAAACTCGTTCCTTTCTGTCCTATCATACAAGGGCGGTCTATTGGAAAGCAACCAGACCAAAAACAGACAACTTAGGGTAGGAAAGCAGTCTTACTGCTGACCATACGGAATTGTGATGACAGTAAGGTGTTCCCCTCGGACAACTAGCATATGCAACGATTCTGGTTTCCTGTAACGGAAGAAAGGTCTTAGACATGGAGTGCTCCAGCACTACGTGGTTTGGGTCCACGCAGTTATCATGACCAATGATTAATTACTTTAAATGATATTGCTCTAAACTGATCACAGTGACACAGATCTTTTCACTCTTTGTCTTCATCTAATTTTTGAGCTTCCATAATATTTCGTACTTTTTAATTCATCCTTTCTTTTTGAACCATATATTTCAAGATTGAATCTCCCTCACTACCACTGATACCAATATTATTTCGTTTCTTTTCCTATCTTGGTGCTGATGTGGTATGGGAATTTGGGTTATTAAAAATTTTTGCTAGGTTATATAAGATTATTACTGACTGGTTATTTCGTTTGACAATATAATCAATGAGAGATACTTAGGTGTTCACACTCTTTTTCAATAACAACTGCTCACTTAGACATTATTCCGATCCATATCAAACTGAGTTTTACCGATTGACTATCTTTTAGGCTGATCGATTACAGGATTTGAATAAAAACCAAATTAGCGACCCAATTCTTATCAGTCAGTAATGTTCAGATTTCCATTATGAAAGTCTATTCGAATAAACTACATTAACAAACTTTCAACATTTTTTGGATTTTTACTAAACAAATATATAACTAACTTCTTGAAATTTTCCTTGTTAACCAGTCATGTTGCGCTCGTTACAGTCTGTGATTCTGTTGAACATTTGAAATAATAAAATTGTGTCATCGAACGACAAGTAAACTTCTCTAAATATTCAAGTTTTTTTTAAAACTTAAAACTAACCACACTTCAACTGAACGATTAGTGATTTTATTGTCTATTCCACTATAAATTTTTGACACCGTATAAACATATCAGTATTATGAAGTCTGTACTGCCAATATGATGTCATTAGATTATTGGTATTAGTAAACTACATTGCTTAGTAAAAAAATCTATTCACTGCTCATTGATTAACACAAAGTCAACTATTCTGAGTTACAACATTACTAATCGTCTCATGTATTGTTTAGTGATTTGTATAACAACACCAGACAGTGTGTGCATACACTTAGACCATAGTTTGTACTCCATGTACTTATCATATTTTGCTTAGTTTACATTGACATTTGTTTAATTAATTTATGTAACTCATTAAGTAATTACAGTATTTTTGTCCTAAGCTAGTGATAGTACCTGGCTACGCGAATCGAAATAGATCGAATACGGCTTGAAACTTTGTGACCACGTGGTTGAAAGTCTAGTGTTTGAACCAGTAACCCCCATTGCTTCATATTAGATTGACGAATAAATAATTGGATTGACCAACCATTATTGATTGACTTTGAATTAAAACCATGAGTCTACAGTTTCATCAGTAAATAATCCTAACATTTTCATTGCTTGTTTACTTTCCATTTTATTTACACATCTAACTTATATGCTGAAAATCTCATATTGTACTAAACATATAATATTAATTAAGACGATTATTATTACTATTATTATTGTTTGCAAGCATGATTGCCAAGGTTTAACTTGATAATTTCAAATAAATTGAGCATCCGGTATAATGTTAATAACGATATATTTGCGAAATACCAATTAATAGAAAATTGAATTTCTGATGTTTCGTGACTTAGTGTAAGCGACTTCTTCGGAGAATAAAAATAAATAAACTGATTAAATTAACACAAATTTAAATGGTACTAAGAAAAGAAAGCAGAATATTTTCATTACAATTAAAGTAGATCTGATCATATGAATGATATGTCATTTAGATCAAGGTGCCTTTTACGTATGACCTACTTGTGTGTGTATGTTTGTTGGCTTGAAAATTTTGATATTTTTTAGTGTAGAAATCTAATATTTTACTCATTGGGATTTTACAAATATATTATTCCCATTATTTATTGTTATTATTATCCGCAGCCAGCGTAACTATGGTGGTGTTCAAATAATTTGGGGTGAATTGGAAGAAACAAAATGGATTGATCGTTGGAATCCAATATCTCAAGATGTTCCAATGGTTATTTTACATCATCATCCTTGTTTTTATTCACCGGATCCATTGTCAGACAAAGATATGTACAACTGTGATCTAGCCATTTCAGCTATTTCGAAGTCTTTGTCTAAATATGACATTCAAGTTAGTTTAATTGTGTTTGTACCTTTATCAACAAAAACAGATCAAATTTTATTTTATGTACTAATATATTTAATAAATGTAAACGAGATTATAAATTTTAATTTTGAGTTTTTGGAAATCAAATATTGTTGATGAAAACATCTATAATTCAAGTGGACAGATTACATAAATATATTTGTTTGTCACCATACATAATAATTAATTCTTCATTTAGTCACATATATGTCAGTAAGAAAAATGCTAAGTGTATGGAAAATAGGTATGTTTCTAATCATAAATAGATTTTTTGTACATTTTCGGTGAAATTTTTCTTCATTCGGAGTTCATTTAAAACACTGTATTCACCTCTATGAATGTAGATTATTTTACCATTTTAAAGCCTACAATTAATTCAATGATAATGTTTCAATATATATCACATAACCTCAACATTATTCTAATGAACTTTACATCTTATGGATACTTTACACTATTTACAACTATTCATGTTCAGTTCTCTATAAAACTTAGATTATTCGAAATGTACTCAACTAAAAATGATCAGTTATAAAGTTTATTATCTTTGATACACCGTAGCTTTTAACATTGCAATTATCTGTTTTTATCATAATTGAATCTTCTGATTTGAAATACTAAAATTATGCTATAAAAAGACGACATTATATAAGATCAATATTTTTTGTAGCAATTCATTACAATTTTTAACCAGGCTGTGACTAGTACGAACTTTCGTTCAGTGTGACAATTATATTCCTTGTATTAATTCAAGTAATTGTTGAGTCGGCTTCCGGAGAACTCCAACGGAGCCTCCAGAGGCCCAAAAGGAGCCGAAGGGTCCTAGACAATCAGAGTATGATGGAACGTTCTAGAATTCCAACGTGGCGTGCTACTATTGGTCGGTAGCATAATATCTCGTTAACGGATTGGCTAAAATATGATGTTGATTTAACAGACGCCGACATCTATAAATACCTATGATTTTCTGTACAAAAATGAACCTTAGGGTAAAGTATTTTCTCTCATACTTGCGTCTTCTCTCTGGTGTTCAAGTCGCTGTGTAGTTCTAGACTGCGAGTTACCAGAATAGCTTAGGAAAACGAATATAGCGTTAGTCGACAAGACTTATCAATAATCTATATTTAGTGTATGTTTTTACAGTGAATCTACTTATTTCTCCCTATGTAATATTATTATCAATTTATAAATGATTATATTTAATGGTTTCTCATCAGTTGCTTACAAACAAATGTTTTAAAATTTCACATTGAGGTAAAATATAATGTAAAACAATTGACATAGGTGAATGAAAAGTATTGGACTGAAAAAGGTTATCAATAATATATATATATATATATATATATATATATATATATATATATATATATATATATATATATATATATATATATAGTAATCTTTCATACAATAGTCTATTATATCCTTTGTTAATTAGTTCACAAATAGTTTTAGTAATTCTTTGGTTTGTACAACATCATATATAGCAAGACTATAATTTACGGACGAACTAATTAGATTGGATTTTGGCGCAGAATTCATTCACTCATTCGGCTAAATATCATTTCGGCATTATAGCTGATGTCAGTTCGTGATGAAAAAATTAAATTAATCAACTGTATATGCAAATTCCTCACACTAAGTTATAACCCTGATTTAACCCTAGTAGGAAGGTCATTTAAGCGTTGCTCAAAGGTCGTCCATAAACTAGTCTCACCGCTCTTTGAATGTCGCGTCTTTTTTACCCAACTCATTTGCATCCGGTGTTTCTCTGTTGAACTGTTGTGTATTATATCTATCTAGTCCTGTATAGAGAAATCTTACAGTTCTATAGCCTAACAATTTATAAATCATAAAATACTTATACATACATACCTATATACTGTACAGTCATTACTTACATTTATCAATCATTTATAAGTGATAGAAAGTCTAGAATAGAAACTGGTCAACTGTTGTAGAATAGTTCTCCTTTCACTTAGTTCTTAGTTCGACAATATTTGCTAATAAATATTAGCTGATGAATAAGTTATTCGAATTGCTTTTTGCGATCCTGATTACACTCCATGCAGTTCCATTATCTTTTTTAATACCATCTCATTGAGTTAATATATTGTGACAACTTGAAATGATTTATAATTATCAGTATAGGATTGTGGAGAGTGTTAAGCTTCATTGAAATCATGAATCAATCAATATTGGATCACCATTGAAAATCTGGAAGCACTGCACGGTCGTTTTGCTCTAGTATGTAGCTCTAGCAGTGCGCATACACGATCTCGCACACAAGAATCAAATCGTTAGTCTTACATGCGAATGCTTAGTCTCCGGTCTGTAATTACGCTATATCCTCTTGTCTGGCTGGCTGACTGACTGACTTATTTTGAGTTTAAAAATGCGTAAATTACTGATATTTTATAAACTAATTAAAAAGTCAATATCTTAGTTATTTATCGCTGTGCGTTTGTCTCTACTCTTTTCTACTTTGTTGAACCAGCATAATGTTCCTCTCTATCTCTCTCTCTCTCTTGTTTATTTCTTCATTGTATTTCAGGTTGAATATGCCAATATTCATTTAAATTCACATATCAATTTCTTTACAATTATTTACAATCAAAGTAATCTAGGTTTTTGCAAAGATCGAAATGGTGTTAGTTTTTAAATCCAAACAAAAAAAATAATCATATGCTTATTGTTTTATTTTCTATGCATAATTTTTATGCTGAACAATTTCTATAGAAATACTCTATTCACTTACTTTTATTCACCTACTACAATTGATACACATTTCAATAATCATAATCACTTGAGCACATAAATCAATAATACAATGTTTACTTGATTATATATTCTTATTCATGTGTATACTGTTGTTTCAAGTTAATCAATTGATTAATTCCATGTTACTAATCCAATAGTTTTACTGTTTTACTCTGTTTCTTTTTCTTTATTTTTTTTCCTACTCATAAAAACTAATTCATTCATTGTTAGTTTTAAATGTTTTCATGTAGAAAATGCTTTAATATTTTTAAATGTTTGTTTTTACTATTCAAAGTTGAATAATTTAATTTTTGTTTTATTCTGCCATTATATTGTGATCAATTTTACAGATTGTGTTTTTTTTTTAAAAAAAAAAAAAGTAACTCACCTATACCATTAAAACACTCATTTTGTACTCCACACACACACACATTCATTCGATATAATGGTTACTTTCAAAAGATCACTGTAATTTAACCATTACATATCCATTTTTTTCGTTTTCATTATTCAGTTCACTTTTCTTCTTTTTGGTAACATTGATGATAATAAATAATAGTAGTAATATTTTTTACGGAATTTTGTTCTCTGAGCTGGATGGTCTGTGAAAGTCACTGTGAACTCGGTGAACTTGTTAACATCTGGAAAGAAGGATGTGTTCAAGTTTTATAGTGATGTTTGTGCAGACGTCCGATGCTTCGTTCGCTTTGGTTTTTTTCTTGGTAGTGCCTGGTGGTGATGTGAAGCTGTCGGCTCCTCTCTTTATTCTGACGTCTTCTGTAGACCTATTGACTACTTTATATATGCAGGTGTGGTTCCCGTTATGTAATCCGGCGAAACCCATGTACCTTTGCGTATACGTCTGTGGGCGAAAATGGTGTCACTTAAAACCGTTTTAATGAAGTGAAGTGTCGTTGTAGTTATGTATGAATCTGAATTCAGTGATCCATTTGGTCCGCTATCTGCTCCTGCTTCTTTGCAATCCTTGATTTTTCTGATGGTCAAGTTGATTTCTTCTGTTGTTGATGGGTATAATGTACAGGGTGATCTTAGTGTACCAATTCATATGTCCAGTGGGTTCTGTAGTGTTTGTCTCTTCAAGTACTTGATGTGGTTCTCGGTTACATGGTCCGATGAAACCCATGTACCTTTGCGTATACGTCTGTGGGCGAAAATGATGTCACCTAAAACCGTGTTAATGAAAGTGAATAGATCTGTCAGTCTCTCACCATTCTCGTTTCTCTCTCAGTCCATATCATCCGATGATGCGTCCACACCCGATGTTGGCGTTCACATTCCCACCAGAATGGTGTGAATTTTTCGTGAACAGTTCTCTACAATCAATTACAGCCTCTCATGAAACCGATTGTACTCGTGTTCACTTTTATCATTTAGGGGTGCGTGACACTGGATGATGCTTATAGTGATGCTATCATTCGTTCTCTGAAGGATGACTTGATGGTCGTGAAGCCATGAGATTGTCAATCCGTAAGCAACTCTCGTATTTGTGTAGAGAGCATCAGTAGGGTTTGTTGTGTTTGTTGGGAATTTGCTTTTCTGTGATGAGAATACAATCACAACTTTACTGAAGTTAGTTGTTATGAATTTAAGTTGCGGTTGATTTTTACCCTGTGCTAATCGTTGTGTCCTTGACTGAAGAGACTAGAGAGCAGCGTACTTATCGATCGATTCAATGACACGTAAACACGTACGGACGGCCTAGAGTCTCGATTGGTCTCGCTTCCCTGTCTAACCCAGTCAGTTGAGTCCAGAACACAAGTCACAGCCTCGGAGATATGAATCACTATATTTCAAACATACTTTGTTTATATACCAATCAAGCATACCACATCGTACCATAAAATAGAAAACAACATTTTGTACAATATTCAACAAGTGAACAGATATCGACCAATAGGAAATGTCCATTTAAAGTCCAAGGACACCATTGAACTTAACATGATAATTATTGGTCTATTCCTCCGCATCCACAACATTAGTCTTTTCTATCAAGCTTGTGTTCAACGGACTTAATTTACTGAGAACACGACCAGGTTGTATGTTCTCATTAGTGTGGCTATTTGGACGACCCTATGGATCTTCCATATGTCTATATTAATTGTTGCAGTGGTTGTCATGATTTCTTCCGATAATGTTTGTATATCAGTTTCGTGACTTCACAACTACTCAATATAAAGATTTGAACTTTCAGCACAGAGTTTAAATAGTTCCCGTTGTTTAAATGACATCTATGTTTAGTGTTCTTTTAGTAAGATTTTCATTGGGTATGGGATCGCTAATACTACACCTAAATCTCCTTTATCTCGGCTTAGGACCAGCAGTAACTTTAGAAAAGGCTGTTTTCAGACAAAGTCCTTAGTCTTAATACTTCTGTAAATATTTTTATATTTTCAAATAGTTTGCTTATTAACATTAGAAATGATGATGATGTGATTAACTGCAATCTCAGCATTTAATTTAATCTCAGTAATATGTTGTACGTTTCTCACATTATAATCAGTAACCCATGCAAAGAAAAGAAATCTACATGAATTATGTTTACATGCGTGTTTATTGATATTTATATCAATAGAAATAAGGAAGAATGTACATTTGAATTTTCATTCACAGTTTCTAGTCTTGTCGACAGTGTAATAAGAAAACATGTTTTAAATGTTGGTTCATACAAATATGAATTTTTTTAATCACCCATAAAATTCTAACAAGTACTTTGTGTAAGAAGGATAACACTAACTAGCTGATATTAACATCAATTTATATATGGTACAACTTTACTCATATGATTGACAAGTAAATGTCTTAAACTATCTGTTTGATTAACTTTATAGGGCTCACTTTTCCGGTTGAACTTTGAAATGTTTGTCTTGAAGTTAGTCATCAGTCTGAAAAGCCATTAAAAATAAAGAACCATCAGCCATTTTAACAAAGCTCACTCTCAAGTTTATACCGATAACTTCCCAGGCTTACAACAAGTTAAATACTGTTGAACACCATTAAATCGAAGTATGATAATTATCAATAGTAAATTCTATTCATTGATAATCTAGGTTCAATGTTATCAGTGTGTTTTCATCTCCCTTCCAACTTCATAGTGCACAAAATTTATAATTACAAATTAGATTAAAACTTAAGTAAAGTTGATATTATAGACTATAAAGTTCTGAATTGGTACTCTAAAGATAAGTTACTTACTGGATGATCTATAGGTTGAGCTTTTAGTCCACTATATAGTTATAGTTGTACACTGTTGAAAGTCTCACAACAGCTCAAAACAACTGATTCATAATTTTTATTCAATTGATAATATTTCTGAATAAAAATGAACCATCTTTAAATTTAAGTTCACATGGTATTGTTCAATTGAATCTTTCCATTGATATTTAGGACTGTAATTGATCAGTCTCTTATTCGCATATGTGCATACTTTGTGTATTCCTTCGATATTGCCTCAATTCATAATCATTCTAAACAAAGATGGTTAGTGGTTAGCAGTGGAATCCAGTACGCGCTTCTCGTCCTATTTAAGACTCACCACTATCCATCTTTGCTTATCATCTTTAAATTTTACTAATCTTTTTTCCGATGACAATCATTAATTTACTTCTAAATTGATAAATTGAATAATAAAAATTTGTATAAAATAAACAGTTTTTATCGAAATTTACCATACAATTTTGTGTGGTACTAATGGACAGTTTATTAGTAGTATAGATAAGAGATTTTCCAAAATTCTTATACCAACTATATTAAAATCCAATTCAAATACCAATGACAAATGTAATGATTTATTTTAAATAGAATTGTACATGACTAATTATGCAAATATTCGTGATTGTTAGGTTATTCTTTTAAAAGAATGTTAAATATCACCGTCATAAATTATTGATTGTTTACTAGTAATTATGACCCAAAAAATCACATTCAATGTGAATTGATCAATTAAATTAGTTTGAAATTTATCAGAATGGGTTTTGTGGAGATTTTAGAAATTTCACTGGTTGAAATCATGAGTCGATTGAAGTTAGACCACCATGGAAAACCGGGAAGCACTGGATGGCTGTTTCGTTATGAGATAGGAACTCACTGAAGACAATGGTGTACGGTAGCGCAACTACGTGGATTGGCTGAAGTTAGACATTAACACCGTTGGATGCCGGCTCAGTTATCTAGTTGGTTAAGCGCCTGACGCGAGACTGACAGGTCCTGGGTTTGAATCTCGCGGGGGGCGGGATCGTGGGTGCGCACTGCTGAGGAGTCCCATACTAGGACGAAACGGCCGTCCAGTGCTTCCAGTTTTCCATGGTGGTCTAGCTTCAATTGACTCATAGTTTGGAATTCGTTTGATTGATATGTTAATAATTGTGTATTATTCAAAACTATCATTCATTAAATGAATAAAGTTATAATGATTAATGGAATATGAAGAAAAAATCAATTTTTAAAAGGACTACAATAGATATGTGTAAACATGAATGAGTGACAACAATGAGTAGACAGTTCTAAATTGATTGTAGAGTGGTCGGTATTGGATATACTTCTTTAACTTCATATATTGCTCCACCCTGTTAACCGTTATTAGATAATGCCCAATGGTGTATAAATCAGAAGACGAATAAGATGAGTTGATTACGTTTATTATCGCACCATACACATATCACCAAGACTATAGACACACGAAACAAAAATGGTATGTGAGTGCCGAAGAGCAAGCGACTGAGTGAGTGAGTCGAATAAATAGGATTTATATATATATACAGGAAAATGAATGCGTCATCGAACCATTTAAGCAGAATGATTATATATGTAGGTGGTAAGCAATTCTCAACACATACATGTTCAATGGTATGGATAAGTTGTTGTTGTACGAATGACTCTATCTGTTAAATAAATTAATAAAAGGGCTTAACCAAATTAAATACGAACAAACTCAAACGTTCATGAGCTGTTATAAGTTAGATCTAGAACAGGCGATTTAAGAAATTTCTGTTTAATACTAGTT